TATCTCCTAAGGGTAACGGCCACTCATCCCACCTGAGCATGAGTCCTCATCTCTGCCGCTTAACTTAGTAGTAGCTTTATCTTTTATAAGGCCAATATCCGCACCAATTGAAGCATTGCAAGCCTCACTATCATCTTATAGACATTTTCCTTAGAGTTTGAGGGGTAACATTCTCTATCACATAACAAGCCCGAATGCATTCTCCACTTCAAACCACTATCCAACTTGAAATTACTGCTGATAATATCCCAGCATCTATTTCACCATCAGACTCTGAACAATAGATCCAAGATATCTAAAACAATGTACTGCTATATTAATGAACTTGATCGCCCAAAGAGTAAAAATCCCCTCAACTAGGGTTCTAATTACTACTAAAATTACACTCCATATATTCCCGTTTTAGATCTACTAAAGCGAAACGCTTAGACTCTAAAGGTTGACCTCACATAATTCAAAGGTTTACCTTCGGCTCCCTCTCTAGTCTTATCAACAAGAAGAATAATCATGCAGCAAAAAAGCATAAACCAATGTACATTCCTCTTGCAAATGGGTCTAGTGAGAACATCCATGACTAAGCAAAAAGTCATGGGCTTAACGGCCTGATCCTTGATGTAACCCAACCTGAATAGGAAATATACTTGTCAATCCACCTTGTGTTTAGAACACAAGTAATAGCTCATGATACATATTTTAATGATTTGAATATCAAGCATTGGTTGACTCCTTTCTTTTCAAAGAAGTCTCCATAAAGCACTAGGTCTCTTGGAACTTTATCCATAAATGCTTTTCTATAATTCAATAAATATCATATGTAGATCCTCCTTGATCTTCTCTAATTTCTCATAATAACCATCTTAAATAAATGTATGGCTTCCTAGGTCGGACACTACGCGCCGGATGAAATCCAAATTGGATTTTGAGAAACATTGTATCGACGCCGCATACCTATGCTACCATAACTCGCTTTCACCCATAGTTTTAACATGTATGACACATTAATTAATACCCTCTATAATTGCACAATCTTGTGCATCACTTATTCTTAAAATAGGAATTAACCAACTATTCTCCATCTGGCGGCATCTTCTTAGTCTTCAAAATAGTATTAAAAAAGTTTTAGTAAGCCATGAAATATCCTTCAATCTCCTAAAGCATTTTCACACCTCTAATGGAATATCATCAGGTCCAACAGCTTTCTTCCACCCTTATTTTCTTTAAAGCCTCTCTAACTTCAAGTTTTAACTAATACGCGATTAAAAACATAACATCTTTTTTCATTTTAGGGTGCCTAAGGGTCACTAATAGTCAATCTTATTTTTACAATCTTCATTAAGAAAGTTTAGCAAAATATCTCATCCATCTTTTGTTGATTATCATCCTTCTAAAAAATATTATTTTTGATCTTCATCTTTGAAATAACACCTTCACTTGAATAAATCCTTACTACTCCTACTCTTTGTTTGGCTAACTATACATATATCTTTCTCCCTCTTATAGTAATCTAATCTATTTAATCTACATAAATCACTAAAAGCTTAAGCCTTTGGCATCGCATATTGCTTTCTTAGCATCCTTGACGAGCCACTTCTATATATTTCGCCCCAATTATCAGAATTTTTAAATTGAAACCATTTTTATACAAAGCTTTTCTTATTTTTAATTTTTCTTGCACATATAGGATTCCACCACAACTATTTTTACTATTTAGGAGCTTTTTCCACTTGTACTCCAAGGACATCTTTTGCAAATTTCTTCAATATCACTAACCATTTTTCCCACATAATATTAAGCATCCTCATGCACAGAGACAAATCTTAGAGATCTTAAAATCTTATTTCCAAAAATTTTTGTTAATATTTTAATGCCTGCCCAAACTAGAATATACTATCCTAAAATAGTCAATTTCGGAAACAATCAGCTCAGGACGCTTGCCTTCATTCGCGATATTGCCTAATTATTTCATATCGAGCTTAAATCTTTATTACTCGAAGTTACTGTCAGCTCACGTACTACTCTCAATACACCATGTTATGTGTGTGTGTTCATAGGAGATTTCTTTGTATTTCACACATCTCAATCATCAACTAGCTATATTTGCTGGTATTGTGTATTTACTTGTGTCCACTAAGGGTTCATTGTACTTACAGATATATCCACTGTTGTTTATCCACAAGTGACTCGTATTTATATTTACAGGGACCAGATTGTATTCACTACGGATCTCTTGAAAGTGTTCATAGAAGAGCCATTGCTAACTGCATCCATATCCACCTTTCACCAATCTCAGCGTGGTATTTGTTGATCTTGTTGGCAACTAGCAAATGCATATGCAAGTTATTGATGTTGACATTCAGGCATTACTTGTGAGAACCAGAAATATTCATGTAAATTAATATTAATAAGTTGATCTCTATTATTATGTCAATAGTCTAAATTTTAAACTAATGTTAATTAGACAATAATCCTAATGAATGAATTAAATATAATTCCG